TAAAAGAGCAAATGAAAATATCTGTTGTGGTCTAACAAATAGCAAAGCGTCTTCTGTATTTCTTTCGTAGCAAGTCCCAACAAGTTGTACAACTTACTATCATTTCTAAGAAAAACAAGAATCAACTGTACCATATTTCCTTTCTGTGGTAGCTTTTTGATGTCTCTCTACCGATTGCTGCATACTGTGGCTTGCAAACTCTGCAAATTACGGAAAAGTTTTTAAAGATGCCCACGATTCTGCGAAAACAACTACAACAGATTTTTTGCAGAGTCATTTAAGAAGATGATTATAGCCATCTGTTATGCTCTATATAGAACATTGTATTGGACCACACAAGAAAGCTGCCAATTAATAAACATCTTGAGTGAGCAATGCGTATATTTATCATTTTCCTATAAAAATTGGCTAAATTACTGTCTTTTTTCATTAAAAATGTTTGTCAAATCAAGGCAGAATTGATTACTTTTCGACAACATTTGTCCAAAACATTCTTGGGAAACTGGCTGTTAAGCATGCTTTATCATTTTCATAAACTTTGAAACTTGTATTGATTTGTCAATTGATTCATTTAATTAATTCGTCCTGCTATAACAAAATTGACCTCGTATCGTAAAACCTACTAGCACAACCTAGTCTTCGCTTCAAAAAAGGACTGATCAAAGTCTAATGTAAATGCGATTATTGTAGTTAAATTTCACGCGTCCATCAATCAACAAATTACTGTACAAACAAAACAAGTGTCTGGTTTCAAAAGGTAACAAAATTGTTTTCGTGTGGGGGCATCTCCATGTTTCCGTGCTTCATCATTGCAAGCTGATACTCAAGGCTTTCTTTCTCCAATTGCAAAATGGTACAATGATTGTTTCATCTCTCTCCACAACTTCTAATTCTCTGCAATCTCTCCACTTGACTTAATTCTGAACAATGTGTGGGAAACTTGGTGAAACATCATAGAGTGCAATGCTTGTGGTGTTTCTTTGCGGTCATTGCTGCTACTATGAGATATTACGTAAAAAGAGAGACTAGACAACAAAACATTACCACCCAAGGGTTTATCCAAACTACTTGCTTTTTCAGTCACATATCACAGATCAACTCGAGTGACTTACTGACTGACTGGACAATCTGGAACATCTTCCAAACCCATGCAATCAAAATGCAGTTTCCATGCTTGCACACATTTTTTTCCTGTGCTTGCAGACTCAAATTCTAGCAAAGGTGCATACTCAACTGAAAACAGCTCCTTTACTCTTTTGTCCATCATGATTTCAATGTTTTTAATGCATACATTTACCCTCTTAAAGGCCTTTTCGGTTGGCTTCAAATGTTTCTATAATCCTTTGCGTTACAGAAATGACTCGTATTCTGCACTGGCTTGATCTAGTTCTTTGAGCTTAGCCTCAATTTTTCCATCAAGCTCAAGCAGTTTTTCGCCACTTTCATGCTATTTCAAAAGATTTTTGTTGATGTTAATGGGCCCTCTGAGCATTCCTTTCAGCTCAGTAACTTGCTCTTAACCATTTCCCTTGTGGATTTCCAACTGTTTGAATGGTTAGGTCCAATAGGGATGTGTAATTTCTCATCTTTAATATACTGCGTGTATTTCACAGGGTCCGACTTGTACTCCTTCATTAATATGTTGAGCACTTCCTACAACACCAAATTCATATCGTAAACATTCAATATAAGGTACCAGACAATCTTGCTCTACTACCGGCTGTTACAGATGTCATCACAGGTAAAGCAAACGTTAACCTCCTTGCTGCTCTATTTAAAACAATGTGATGGTAATTTGACATTATGCAAAAGTGTCAGAAATCAGTTCTAAACGAAACATTAATTTTCCTTGAAACTCACCATTATGGGCCATGAAAAATAAACAGAGATGATAAAATCGTGATTCTTAAAATTGGTCAATGGTTTATCCAACACTGATCTTAAGATCATTTCCATGACCCATGGAAACGACTTGTTTCAAATGTGTCTACTTGGGTGTGCAGCATCTAATAATTATCACATGAGAATATTAATCAACTTCTCATCCTATGTGTTCTGTGTTTAACATAATAAGGAACAAGGAAGGTTAAAATAATAGCCTATCTTTTAGCAAATTACAATTAAAACTAGAGCTTTGAAACTGTTTTTATTATAAGGAGTGTCTGGCCACAGACAGCCAGAATTAAAATGGATTAACATTTAAAAGTTGCAGTTGAATTTATCCAGAATATTTTATAATTGTAATAAGAGAAATTTACATAGCTTTTTAAAACTATGTAAATATTCAAAAAGTGCTTTACTTTACGTCAAATGTTTTAAACTAGCACTGAGCTCTTTCCTAAAAAGAAATGCTTAGAGATATTTTTTAAAAGTAGCTGGGCTGCTACAGGATCTGATTGGTAATGGCATTTACCAAAAAAAAATGCATAAAGAAAATTCAAATGATGTAAAAACACATTGTTTGTAACATTAGGGAAGTTAGATGAACAATCCACTTTATATAGACACAGCAGTAACACAGATGTTTAAATCAATATGAATATTGAGGCTGCTCATTCCAGAATATTCTAAGTCAACTCATGACTTACTCAGAAACAAAAACAGACTTACTCTTGCCTGTACCATTGTAATTTTCATGTGTTTACTCTTACCTATAACATTGTAATTTTCATGTGTTAGGAACCACAAGGGGTAGTCTCAGTTGTAACTGTTAAAGGTGGTGAAACTTTTAAAAAACACATGACTGTTCTTTTTTCTGTCGAATTCTCTGCCCACCATAGACCAAACATGAAGTCAAATTGTTTTTCTTTAAATACATTAAGAGCTGGGAATTCCTTTGAGGCAAAGGGTTGTTTATTAAGTTACTCAGTTATTCCAAACTTCTTTCCTGATTCATAGCTGATAAATAAGCTATACTTGCTCTTCATTTTTGTTGTTGGTTGAACACATACATTACATGCATTCCCAGTGCTGTGAAGTGAAAACATTGCAGCTACTATTTGAATGCCTGCATGGAGAGCAGTTAAACCTCTTCATAGTGTGGTTCCAACTGACCTCGTTGAGGTCTCCATTACAAAATGGATTTATAAATATATATAACATAATTAATAATGACAAGAAAACAAGTCCAACAAAAGTTTAAACATTTTAACAAAGCTGATTCTATGAATCCAATTACGAGTTTATAATGTTCACAGTTTGAAAGTGAAAATTTACTTTTTATACTTATTAATAGCAGCACTTATCAAGGCTGGGAAGCTCGATTGAATGGGAGCCTGCAGAGAACAATTTAAGTATACAAAATATGTCAAGCAATTTTAAGAGCAAAAAGTTCAGTATTGAGCCTAAATTGAGTGGGAGCCTTTTAAAATAGTAGAAGTATAACAAAGTACATAAATCAAAATTGGTGACGTCCTCAGAAATATTACAAATGACTGAGCAATGAAATGAACTTATTTGAAACCCTAAACAGCAACATCAGGACAATGATAAGTCACTACCTGTAAGGTTACAAAGAATTGTCACAATAATATTTTAAATCAAGTTATAGAGATTTCTTTACTAAACCATAGCCTTTACTTATTCTATTATGACTATTATTATATATTTTGTATGGCAATAGAGAAGTTGTTTAAATGTTGATTCCAAATCATGGTCGAAGGTAAAGAATCAGAAGACCAGGTGTCAGCACAGGAAACAGAAGAGTTTAAAGTTTGCACTTTATGTTGACAAAAAGTCAAGAATTCTGGTCCGCTCTTCTTCTGGTAATGTTCGCATTGATTACACAATTAACCCCGTTACACACCAAGGAGCACATTTCAATGTTTCTGAATCCTATCGGGATTAGTCACAGTCCTTGCATAAATAAATTATTTGTTGAGCAAATCTTTATTTATGCTTGTGAATAGATTGAGCAACTAAATAAATTTCAATTTTTATACTACATTTAGTTCCTGTTTGGTTGCGATCTAGGCAGAGCTTGTGAATTGGAAGGTCATAAACTGATGTAGTAGTCTACATCCTGGCTTTCCTTGTGAGCCCATCTTGTTTAGGATATGTCTGAATTACTAGGTCCATCTTCCATGTTCTCCTTGGGGTGGATTCCATCTCCAACACCAAGTCTTGTTCTTAAAGGTTTTTGCGTTTCTTGTACCATTTATTCCTTAATAGTAAATTTGGGGCAAAATATTTCGTCCAACAACTCCAGAACTCTTGTACTCCTTTCTCAGTGCTTCTCGTGAGGTGTTTTGGGCTAACACTCTGTTCTGGCTCCAGCAAAGGGGGCTGAAAGTGGTGTTCAATTGAGAGGTCATTTGTCGTGACAGGCAGATTTTCCCGGATCTAGACAGAGCTAGGACAGAGAGGACACCCATTGATCAAATAGGTCATTTCTGACAGATACATTCTTCCCTGTTCCTCTGTAAACGTTTGATTGTTTGATGAAGCATCTAGACTTTCTATCACTCTGTTTTGATGGCTAGCTTGTGGACAAGTTTGGAGATATCCCAGCCTTGCAAAGTTTTGTTCAAATAACTTTGTACGCCAACAAAGTTTGTACCTCGATCCAATCAACAGTTACTGGGATATCCTCTGAGAGAGGCAAATCTCTGAAAAGCCATGAGAAACGTATATGAGCTTCTGTCTGTTACAAGCTCTGGATGGACCACTCTTGCATGGAAATATGATTACTTGCGCTTCCTTCAGTGCTTTTCTGTTGATTCTTATTTGCAAAGGTCCAAACATGTCAATTGCTGTGTTGCTGAAGTGCTTCTTTACATGTACCGTATAATCTTGCAATTGAGAAGTACCCCGTCAACTCCAAGCATGGTATTGACTTTTTCTTTAAAGGGGCAACAAATGCTTTAACCATGTGCAGTATGCAGGAATAACTGCCATCTGTGAGTTTCCATCTGAGGAATATGGCTGAACCATAGGCTATCTCTCGTCTGGCAATCCAACAACTCAATGCATTTCTTGTTTTTGGCTGAGAAATGCATTTCTTAGCCAAAGTCAATGTTATCTTTTGGATCTAACTTTGATAAAAGCTGAGACATTACAAAGGGTGCTTCTGAGGCATTGGTCACTGCCCAGCCGTTTGATCCATGCTGTTTATGAAACCAAGAATTCTAGCCACTTAGTGACAAAGCAATTTCGAGTTGCACTTTACTGGCTGGAGATTTGTAACTTCAGTTAAGGGCATATTCATTAATTTCCTTTGATCTCCAAACTTGGTCTTGAGAATTTTCCACGCTTGCTCAATCATTTTGCCTTACCTGATCCAACCAAAACAGTTTTTAGGTAACGCTTTCCGAAGCCTTTGCAATTGTTAATCTTTTTCTTGTTTGCACTTATTCATTCAATACTGAAATTCGTGCTCCTAAGTTGTGTAAGATTTTCTAACACCATCCCACGTGGGAACTGACAATTTCTCTAGCCTGTGTACTTTTGCAAACTCAAAACATGGGTCATTTTTGTTACCACTGATGTCATTGCTTCAAGCACTTCCTGTTTAAAAAGCGGCTTTTCAGTCACAAAGGATTTCTGATAAATTGTGAATTGCTCTGGGTATTTTAAAAGCTTAGATTTGGCTTCATTACCAACTACTTGATTCTTTGTTTGTTATTCTTCTGACGCTGATTCAGTAAGTCTGTTGGCAATTGTGCATTGCTGCTTTTTAACACTTCTCTATTTAGATTTAACTTGTTTCTATACACTGCTTAGGGTATCACTCAAGAGTGGTTCAACTTGGTAAAACACATGGAATTCAAATAAGTCATTCAATGAAGCTATTGTGCCGTCTCTTTTTGCAATAAGTGTTAAAAAATATATTTTAGGAGGCATAATATACTACTATCTGCATATAATAAATATAAATTTTAGTTACTAGCATAAAAGTTTATTTACACACTTCCTAAAACATGGAATCAATGCTTCTTGGATTTCTTTAAATAGACAGGCATCTTTTGCTTGAATGTAAACAGTTTAATTAAGTATGTGAATACTTGGTCAATCATTGACAAGAGTAAAGTCTTTACAATAACATTAGAAGTGATATCTGAATTCTTAAACTCTTGAACTTTAACTTGGAAAAACGAGGTTGGTGGTAAATAAGGAATTGTTTTACCTTTCAGCTGTCAAATTTACCCGTTTAGTTGGGTTCTGTCAGCTTGTGTGTTTCTGAAGTCTTGAGCTTTCAAATGCCTTTTTGTTGAGCCTCGTGAATGTGACTTGTTCTCTTCGCAGTCCTGGCTATTTGTCAGCATATGCTCTTCCCTTCTCGGCCAGTGCAGATTTTTTGACTGATTCGAACTCGTGGTCGAAGGTGAAGAATAAGAAGACCAGGTGTTGACACAAGAAACAGAAGAGTCAATGTTTGCTCTTTATATTGACGAAAAGTAAAATATTCTGGTCCGCCCTTCTCCTGGTACTGTTCGCATTGATTACACAAATACTCTTGTTACACATCAAAGGGGGTATTTAAATGTTTTTTAATCCTCTCTGGATTCAGAATTTGTAAATAAATCATTAATTAGGCAAATCAACCGGTATAATTCGCTAAAGAGTTGGTTAAACCAAGTTTACAAGCTAGGAACTTAAAATTTACATTGCTCAGATGATGGCGAGGTTTGGCATAAGCACTTTGGGTAATAGTGCTCGCAGAGATTTTTCAATGATGACAAAAACTAACCAAACCATTATAGTGTAGTCAGTTGTTTGTATCGTATTTAGGGTGAGGTTGGAATTGATGATTACTCGCACTTTTGTAACGCATCTGATCCTGCCCAAATTTTCTTCCTAAATTGAAGCAGTTCACCATACTGACAACCATGTCGAAAAAAGTCGAGCATGGGTCATGGATAATGTATTCCTTTTAACAGGCTGAGCTTGTGGTGGTGGTTCATATGGCCTTCCTTATTCTACAAAACCTAGTTTATGTTAGCTTTATGTTTTCCTCTCTCTTTATATTGTGAAAAATTTGGAAAGATCAAATGAGATAAAACTGAGTGGTAAATAGATACATCGACCTAGCAACATGTCAATAGACTGTTGTGTAACAGACTGCATCATTAGAGATGCACAGATACTTTAGATAGGATGCATTCATGATGCTGGAGGTATTTATATTTTAAACTAGCTAGACTGTGCAGCAATACATTTTTGTTACTTTCCTTTATTGTTCTGTAGTCTGATGTGTTAAATTAGTAACTGTAGTTGTTTGTACATGTTTTAAAATCAGCAACACAAGCCTCTCTTGACAAAACTCAGAAAGTATTACTTTAATCTGTCAGAATTTTCCTTTCAATAATTAGCTTTGTGTAACTGTTGTTGAAGAAATTTCACAGTTGTTTTGCTAGAGATATATTTCAAATAAATTAGTAACTGAGAAGATGAAACTTGAGTGCAAGTAACAAACTGTTAATACTTTAAATGGCCTCTGCTTCTCATCTCTTCCCTTTTAGCTATTGTGAAATCTTGATGGTGACAATGGTGGTCATAGTGTTACTGTTGGCTGCTGTATTGTTTTAATGCTCTGAGGGCGTCTAAATCTTTCAAAAGGTGTTGGTAGGGAATGGTGGACCAAAAAAAGTTAAATTTAATTTTGGTTATTTCTCATAATTCCATGACCATTCCTTTTCTTGTTATTACCTCATTGAATTGGAAAGTTCAAGCAGTGGCAGAGAACCTTAATAGCAGAATCTAGTTGTCCTGTACACATGCTACCTAAATGGACCCTCTGATGTTGCCTCTTGCTACAAAACTTGTTATCTGACAAAGCCCACCCATTGCCAATTTTTGATGAAAGCTGTTGTAGTACTTTGATGCAAGCTTGTGGCACAAACAGTGCAGTGACCAGTTATCAGTGTTGCACTATTAGAAACCAGAGAGCTACAGTCTTTCACCTTTAGTCAGAGCGTGTTTTCTTTGAGTTGTGAGGAGGCTTAAGGTGGTTTTTGCATTGGCTTTGTGTAGTTTTTCAGAACATTTCAATCCGAAATGAACGTGTTTCAATGTTCTCTGTTTTGTTTCCAGGAAAGATACATCTGTGACCTCAGCAGTTAGGAGACCAAAGCAATTTGCTCTCTATACCTTCCCCAACAAGTTTTCATCAAAAGAGCTACTAATTACCAAAAATATTACCCCAATGGAACTCTGTGCTGAGTACTGGAAATTCTTCATCTCGTGAAAACCAAAACATGTTTGCCGATTAGCCAATGATGAGAAATTTGGATTTCAGACTTTCTCTTTTACAAGCCAGTATGCTGCGCTATATGCCTTAGACATGAGGTCATTTCTGTGGAGTTTCTTTTCCTGCAATTTTTTTTAAATGAAATGTAGAGTTCACAATTTTTGTTAACAAAATATAGAGACTTGTCCCTGTATTTCAGACTCAATGGGATCTTTGTGTTGCTGGATCATCTCGTAAACTGTTCACAGGGTGTGGCGTGAAAGTTTTGTTTTGCTTGCATAAGAAGCGAAACATTCCTTCTCCTTCCTGCAAGTGTTTAGGCTCTTCTGGAACAACCAGTTGTGCAAAAATCTGTCCTGTCCAGACCTAAGCTGAGATTGTGAGTTGATAGGTGCTAGAAATGGTATCTAGCGTACTTGTAGAAGTTGTATGTGATAATGTCTGTTGAAAGGAGAAATAGTACTTCAACTTCTTTCATAGTCAGAGGTGTGTCTGAAGGTGATTTCTCTAGGTTTTGCATCACCTCTTTTGTTTGTAATATTGTCATACTTCCCTCCCTTGGTTATTGAGGAAACTATCAGTTCATATGCAATCTAACTTTGAATCATCTTCACTTGCTTTGCACTGACATAAGCTGTTCTCTGAAAGTTTCCTCAGCTCAACATGCCTTACCTCTCACCCCTCTATTTTCACTTTAGTTAGTTCTTGGTGATACTTCTGGAATAGCTGCTCTGTGTGCTAAGAGACTACATTTGCCCATTTTCTGTAGTGTTTGGGAGACCATTCAGGGGTGAAGTATAGCATATGCCCTAAATTGCTATCAACTTAAAAGGACTGTTTATCTGTAAAATTAGGTTGAGTAAACAAAAACGTTGTCTGTAAAGCAACCTTGCTGCACGAACTACCATGAACTAACTTCTGTGGCCTCTGATCACTTTTCATCTCCTCTTGGTACTTGCTTTTATGTTGCACTACATCTGCACTAAGAAGATCTTGAAGTCTGTAACCCTCTTCAGTATATTTGTAAAGAGGGATGTTTAGGGCTTGGAAAAGCTTAACAACAGCAACTGCGGCAGTATTGAAATGTATCACTTCCAATGTTAATTTCTTTTGAATTTCTCCGCCACACCATCCCATTCAAAAATCTGTTTTGATCCTGTTTCTTGCCATGTAAGCACTTCTGCAGTAACTCATCCTCAATTGGTCTTAGATTCAGGCTTTAGCATGGCGATAACAATGCCTGATATTCTAGAAAAGTCATTTCCATGTGGTTGTGAAGCTTAAATTGTTTACGTCCTTGGGTTACCTTCCACATGGTGACACGACCATTGTGTAATAAGTAGCCTGTCTTTTGCCATTTGTCCCCAGGTTGCTGTGGAAAGATTTCTCAGTTCCAGGTGGAGGCATATTCATAACTGAGTGGAAGTGGCCTAAAATAAGACATTAAGGCTGTATTTAAAGGAAAAAATGGAAACAAGTAAAATCTAAATAACTATATCTTAAGAAGTACCTCAAAAGTATTAAAATACATTAAGTGATAATCTAATCTACAATATCTACTCTAATTTAGCTATGTGTCATATAAAACACTACACCACAATGAGAAGACTGTATCTCACAACTTAACCATTTTATTTAAAGTCACTTTTAATGGCATGCAATACAAGCAAACAAGGTAAAATATAAAAAAATTAATAAAAATAATCAAAATATCAATGTGCAGTCGCGATAGTTAATTTTGGTTTTAAATGAAAGTAAAGATTAGCATAGTCAAATGTTTAAAGAAAGTGAGCTCCACAGTTTAGCATCACTTTAACGAAAAGTTTTTTTGAGGTATTTGGTCATTTTACCACTTTCCCCTGATTCCCAGGCAAAGGCGACTAACGACAGGTTTAACAGACCCTTCTCCACAATGGTATCATGATGTCCTATGTCAATGTCAAAGTTATCTTAGTATCCAGATTAACTATCAGCTCTACTCCACCTTTTCATTGGACGTTTGATGGATATCAGTGGCATATACTGTTTGAGAGAAGTGTACCCCTTTATACTTGATCCTTGCTTCTTACACTGTCTGCGTGCTATTGGGGTTATAACAGTGAAACAAATTGGCTGTTAACCTTGCTAGGAATGGTCTTAGTTGGTATAGTGTATCTGTCTGAGCAGAGTCGCAAGCTGGCATCTAAGAGTTATCATTCAGATGTAAATATTACATTTTAGGCAACACCTTTCCAATTTCAGGGATGACAAATAGTGGATACTACTGGCAATTATCGAAAGAGTTCCCTTTTGTTGAACCAAAAATGTTTATATAGTCTTACTTGACCAGACAACGAAAGAAACAATTGTGTAAAAACCAGCCATTGCACAACCTGTGGTACGACCTTAACCATCGATACAATCAAAGTAAATGTAATCACGCTTCTTGAAATTCACCAAAAAAGCTGTTTCTGAGCTTTGTATGTGTAAACAATTAGTGCCATTGTTCAATCATGAGGAAAGTGTGAGATGAAAGTAGAAAACCATCCTTTGATGTCATACTGAAATGGACTGAATTTCAGGGTAAAAACCAATTTGAGAGAGTTATTTGGTTGTCACTTGTTTGGTCTGGAACGACATCAATTGCTGAGAAACTTCTGATTTCTGGCTATGGATGTTAATGGATGTAGGCAAGGCTCTCAAAAGATTTGGCTGCATTTGTGGAGTTAAGAGGTCGAATGATGAGAGTTGTAGATCATGAGACTGCTCACTTTGGTGTCCAGAAATGGCCACAAATAGGCCTATTGAAATCCTGGTGTTGAAGCTGAGAGTGATGGCAGTAGCTCCCACACAATGATTGGTGTAAACTTTGGATAAACCAGCCTCTTCACTGACATTTTTTTCATTTTAGTTGACTTATATGTAATAATAATAATAATAATAATAAAGTAAACAACATTATTTAACAAGGGCTACACAAAGAAGTAAATATACTGAAGAACCCCTGGCCCTATAAATAGTACAAATTAAAAAACTAATGACATTACATGAAAGCATTCAAGACTTACTGTGTAAGGAGTTATTAAAATACAATTATGATATAAAAGTTAAAATTTAAACTATCTGGTATATTAAAACATGGCAAAGATAAGGTCAGTTAATAAAATATAAAATTTAAAAATACATGACAAAAATTATTCAGTAAATGTTCTAACATGGATTTCTTGAAGCCTATAAGATTCTGTTTCTTTCTCATCTCGTTGGGGATCTTATTTCAGAGGCGGATAGTTGATACTGGGAAGGACCCCCTCCACCCTTTCAGACTCCCATTTGAATTGGGGGTAGACAAGGTTTCATTGTCCATGTTTAATCGCTCATTCATTAACATCTGCATTTCTTATTAACATCTGAGTCATATGGATGGGCAATCGCCAGCAGTCTGTTAAATACCAAAATTGACTTATATATTCTTGCTTCAACATAAAAAGGGACTCAACCTAATTGTTTAAAAAGTTAAACACTCTTTGCTTTCGTATCAGCACCCAGCTGTGTGTTTCTGTAGCCTGAAAACTTTTAGAATATTTTCTGCAGAGTAGGATGTCCACACGGTTGAGGCATACAACTTTGTCTGCTTGACCTTTGCATTATAATAAAGTTTCCTTTAATCAAGAAGCAGCAAGCATCTTATTTTCCGCAGTACAGCCATTCTCTGTGCGAACTACTTCCATAGATTATCCTAACTTTCAATCGTGGGAGGGTGGAATAGAAATTCAAGAAGCATGGATGCCCACGATCAAAAAACAAGACAACAGGAGAGCCGTGCGACAACGGACTGCCAAGGGTGCAAGTCACCGAATGAAACAGCAAGGATAGAAATGTACCAATCAGAGCTGTTGAAAAACAACTAATCACAGCAGAGCATCATGCTTTATAAGATCACGCATGACCAGTCGACCTCATCACCTGAAGAAGACTAGCAGTATGCAGTCGAATTGTTGCGATCAACATCACGTGTGACTACATGGTGAGACAAATGAAAAACTTAGCTTTTATTGTTATTCACTACAATGAATAACCGCAACCTTTTTTTGATATTTTTCTCGTTTCCTACAAGATTATTTAATCCATGTTTGGCACTTTTATTGTCATTTGATAGACACTTACTCAGGTTCCAGAGTTTCCAAGAATTGTTCTTGTTTTCAGCAATTTTAGTTTTTATGTACAATTGTTTTGTATTCCTGATAAGCTTGGTAACACTGTTTTTTACTCGCTTAAAAAAATTCCAGTTGCTCTCTGCTTAGTTTTTCTGGATTTCTTGAGAAGCTTGTCACGAGCCCTTATCCCTTTCAGGATTTTAGCATTGAACCATTTTGGTTGGACTTTAAGCTTCACTCTCTTTTGCTTCAAAGGGAGATGCTCATCAAGAATACCATTAAAAATTTTATACCAGGTGTCAACTACATCATTTGGATCCTCAAATACAAAGGCGCAGTCCCAGAAGGCTTCATGCAGGGATGAAACAAGCTGCTCTTTATTAAGACTCTTGATGTCTTGATAAGTTATTGTGGTGTGTTGATCTCTTTGTTCTTTGAACGTTTAAATTTCCTGTTAACAATGACTGGGAGGTGATCAGATATCTCAGAAGACATAATCCTCATATTATGAAGGTACTACGGGTGACTGCCTCAAATGTGATCAAGGCCCGATTTTCATAGGCTGTGGCCTTGAGCTCAGCAATAGTCCTTTTGGCATCCACCAACTTAGTTTGCAGAGTCTTGATGGCCTCTGACTTTGTTTGCACTAGATTGGCCAACTCCTCCGCATTTTTTTCTTGTTCCTCCAACTCGGCAGCAAGCTCTTGATTCTGTGGTTGTTGATTTTGGAAGGACTGGCCCACCCTCTCGTGGTCTTTTACCAAAGTGTCGCACTTTTTTTAAAGCTCTTGGTAGCTTGGCTTATCTTCAGGCTGTTGATTGCTCTGGGGGCCTTCCTCTTCTTTTTTTGAGGTGGCTGAGTTGGACAAGAACATTAACGGTTATCACAAGAACAGACACCACACTTGTTGATACAATGAAAAATGGTCGCCGCTGCAGATAGTACATTTCAAAAGTCGCTGAGACATTGTTTCTTGTTTGTGAATAAATACGTAATGCTTGTATTTCTCTTCACAAAGGCATCCCCCCTGATTGGATAAATAAGAAGACCAAAATTGTCAAGAATCGCACAACGTATTATACATATATGACTTACCAATATACCAAAAATTAGGATCGCATTGCAATATAGGGCGCTTCTTAACTGCACTTTTCGATGGAGAATGTTAAAACACTTTCGTTTAATTCACAGGGAATTTTCGTGTGCCTTTAAGTTTAAGTGGCATTTTGAAAAATTTTAAGCATTTATAGTAAGTTTTACATCGATTTTTGAGTGCAAAAATGCACAAGTAAAGTTATTTCACTGCCTGTCGCTAACCTGTTGGTTACCTGTCGGTGGCCTGTCAGTTTAGTGTGGGCAAATTTTCGGCAGACTGTTGGCCGACAGTTGGTAGACTGTCAGTGGAGGGGAGCTATTCTTCACAATTACCGAGAACTCTGTTTGCCTCAATCTCCCCAATCGCTTACCAGTCGTTTTGTACCCATGGATCTTTTGTACCCAGACGATTTGTACCCAGGCTCAGACATTTCGTACCCACTTTTGGTCAGTTCGTACCCAACCCTCTGGTCGATTTGTACCCAACAAATTATGAGACAAAATGTTTAAAACAAACATAAACACTTATTTCATTTATCCTAGTAATCGCAAAAAGCTAATTTCTAATCACAGAAACATTGAAAAGTTATCTTTTAGTCAATACTCTAAAAAAATCGTGACCTTGTTGACCCATCCTAATATATTTTGCCTACTACCATGCAGCGCCTACGACTAAACGTACTTTCTCTACTCAGTAAAAAAGCTAATTTCTAAATCATAGTAATGTTGAAAAGTTATCTTACTCTTAAACAATCATGACATAGTTGCTCTAGCTGACCTATCCTGATATATTTGCCCATTATCACAGAGCACCTATATGAACAACCGTACTTATTCTACTCAGTAATAAATAAAAATCCTAGTGGTAAGTTAAGTTCAGTTCAGTGCATCACTGGCCTGTTTATATTGGCACATCCTTTGAGCAGCTTCCTGAGTGACTTCTCCTTCTTGTCGACGGCCTCCCAAAGTTTGAAGAGCCGCCTCTGCACTTCACGATAGGTGGACCTCTCCATTCGCTCAAGCTAGCACTCAGAGACCAGATGAATTTGTAGGAACACTAGTCCAGCTTCCTTGTACAGTAGGGCCACAAACATGTAGAGAGGCAGACCCCATCAACCAGCAGCTCTTCTGTTCAGGCTATGATGCCAGCCCTCAATATCATTGTTTGTCCTTATTGATTGCATAAATACGCTCCAGCAGTTGGGCGGCCAAACTGTGCTGCAAATCCAGTTTTCCTCGATGTAACTGACAAATTTCTGTACAGGTTCCATCTTGGCTTCTGGTTTTAGGCTGTCGAAGGTTGCATACTCTCAAAGTTAGGTAAACTAGCACGCGAAGCAGAACAGGATTCACATTTCCGAGGGATGTCTTCACCAGATCCGACTGCGTCCCTGTAGGTTTCTCATGATACTCCACTGTTGCAGCCATTGCACAAAAGAGCTTCTCGACGCTTGTTGAGAAATGTTTTACACGTGATACACTGATATGCCATTTTCCTTGAAAGTTTGTCTAAGCAATAAAAATGAACGAATGTTGAGAAAGTTTTCTCGGAGCTTTTTATAGCTGGACCCTTGCACCAAATAGATCGAAATTCTGGTCATTTCATTGGTCAATGCTCATATTCTTTGGTCTCTTTGTTGCAACATTCTTATTTAATACTGTAGAAAAAAAAAAGGACAAAATCACACCTACCTTATGCGCGACACTAATTAGCTGTTACTGTCAAGAAACTCACAAGTATAAACAATAAAAAAGTAAATAACTGTTATCTTTTGCGGGCCACTCACACGAGTATGAACCAAACAACTTTATAGGTATTTAAAAAATATCTTTATCTGCATTTTAATCGTTTTAAGAAGTTTCGCAAGCAAAACCTTCAAAAATGTTTTATAGGTGGACCCTCAGACCAAAACGATCGAAATTCTGACCATTTCGTCAGTTAATGCTAGTGTTGTTTACTCGCTTTGTTACAATATTCTAATTTAATACTTTTGAAATGATAGAGAAAAATCACACCTATCTTGCGCACGATAATAATTAGCTGTTATTGTCAAGAAACTCGTAAGTATAAACAATAGAAAAGCAAATAACACTTACCTTATGCGGGTCACTGACACTTTTATTGTTAAGTAAAGTTCAACAATATAACAAATAAGATCACACATGTACCTTGCGCATGCGAGCATGCATCTTAATTATTTTGCGATTACTAGGATAAATGAAATGAATGTTTACGTTTGTTTTAAACATTTTGTGTCATAATTTTGTTGGGTACGAATCGCCCAGAGGGTTGGGTGTGAACTGATCGAAAGTGGGTACGAAACGTCTGAGCCTGGGTACAAATCGTCTGGGTAGGAAAGATCCATGGATACGAAATGACTGGATACCACCTAACTATACACCCATAATCAAGTACAGGAAGTTTCGGTTTACAAATCTTGAACAAAAATTCACATGGCTCTTGATATTCCAAATGTGAATAAGTCACCTGGATAAATTTCTTTGTGAACTTTGTATTAATTGTGCAGCTGATAAACAGGAATAAAGAACTTTATGAGGAAGATCTCTTTGTTCTGTCTCATCTAAAGTGCCAGTGTGACAAGTAAATAAGCAAGAGATGGGGATCTTCAAACTGCGTGCACACTCATTGGTATATCACAGTGATGACAGTCGCTCCAGACTCCCCTGTGTTACCTGATACACCAATTTCTGCACTGAGACATTAAATTACAAAGTGAAAAAGTCCTATTTGGCATGGTACTCACTTTTATCGTTTTGAAATTAACCAAACAGGGCTGAGCACTGTTCAGTGACAGCATTTATCATTATTTTTCCTGTAGAAACTTAGGGCTACTCATATTGATTGCTTTTAAAGTGTGTTGGTCAAATATCAACGCCTTGAAATCATTGATGCAGAGTTGTTGCTAGTGTGAGAGAGGCAAGAGATTGTTCTCAGGCATACAAAGCTTACCCTGCCATGTGCGGTTGCCCTAGCTTTGAAATGCCACATGCTCGTTACAAAATTTTGTCAAGATGGACTTTAAAGTTGCTGAAATTGTGCAAACTTCATCATCACTGCTTCACTTCTTCCTGGGATACTGAACAATTGCAGCTCCTCTTTGGGGAATCCTGGTCCCTATCGCATTTCCATGAGCAGCACAAGCTTGCTAACGGATATTTCCAATTTGGAGCTGTTACTTGTGACAGATCAGACACTACCTTGCCCACTTAGTTTTTGCTTGCAACTGCTGGAGATATTCTTTACTCCACCTTAAACAAAACTCTTGTGGTAAATGCTGTGTACATCTTCCTTTCTTGCTACAGTAAAGGTCTTCTCTCTTAATCTCACCAGGTGGAGGCAGCGTAAGCCTTGTCTTTCCTGTGAGCAGAATACTTGGTGATAAAGGTGGTTTGAAAGAGGGTCATTTATTGTTTCCATGCTCAAATGTCTATTGTTGATTTCGAACTCGGCTTCACACAGGAACTTCTACAGCGATTCTTTGTCTAGATGATTAGCATGATTAGATGTTCTTTCGTAAGACTGTTCATGATGTTTCTTATTGACCTGATTTGCCTCTCCTTGCCCACACCTTGGCTTTAAGAAGGTCTGCCTTGATCTGATCATTAATTTCTTCTATAATCCTTTTAAGTTTGGTTTTTGCGTGAATGAAATTTGTTCCTCTATTGCTGTGGATTTCTCTGACAGGTCCTCTTTGACCAATGAATCATCTCAGTGCTTGAATGACAGAATTGGTTTTAAGGAGATCTGCTAGCTTTATAAGTACTGCTGTGATTTGATAAGTCAGCCATCTTTTCTCCCATGGTATCTAGGAGATAACGACGTGTGACAAATTTGGAAACAAACTGTCTCACCATTGTATTTCCGCTGATAATCCAGTAGCCAATGGCACAAGTTTCGCTCACAGTGATCCCTTTTCCACTATGGTGTGTTCTTCCATGTTTGTGACATGGCTTGACTTTGGCAGGATGATCAGGTTCTTCAGAGCCTCTGACAGGTCTGCCTTCCGTATTTGTCCACCAACTCTCATGATGCTGTCTCTGTCTAGAAATGGATCCAGTTTGTGAAGAGAACTTGTCTTCCTTAACCCAGTTTTCTTTTCTTTGTCCAGTGCACAACTACCGTACTTGGCGATCACTTGGATGTTTTGGAGACTTTTTATTTCTGAAGTAAATACGTTTCTTTGCAATTCCTTTATTATCTCTACTTTGGCTTCCTCTAAGTTGACTCCTTCCCTTTAGATATGACTTCATTATATCGCTTATGTCTCAAGCAAAGCACCACAGCTATCTTCGCAATCAGCAGCAATACCTAGTAGAGTTTCTTCTACAATGCATTTCCAAAGCAAATGAATAACAAAAAGCAAAGGTGAACAAAGCTAATTGATAGCAGTAGTCATTTTATACAGTAGTTTGAAAGTACATGAACAAAGAAATGAACAACTTGAACATGGGATCTTGATCATTCTCAATTGATCTCTTTATGTGATGAAAAGCTATGATTGGAAATAAAACAGAATTAACAGCTACAATTCTTGTGATCTGATGAGAGAAAGAAAACACTACTACCTTTAAAATTTACACAGCATTAGAAAATAGTAAATAAAATGGTTGAGATCTACAGCTTTGAACACTTTGGTGACAATAACTTTAATGACTGTTTGGGCTAATGGTTTCCTTTAGGAAACACAGTTTAGGCTAAGAAAACACTGAAGCAGAAAGATTCCCATTAGTGCTTTTGTGGTGGGCTTCCATTTCCCAAACACAATCGCAGAAGGCTCTTAAATTCAAAGTGGACCCTTAAACAATTACAGCACAATGAGCTCTGTGACTATGTGTATCAATGTACATTATCCGTAGAGGAGTTACCATAAATAAGGAGGTCTTGTTTAAAATAATGTTTGGGAAATATGTTTTGTTAACCTTGAGGCTACAAGCTGACCACGTACTGTGGACAGCTCGTAGTCATCTTCTAGTCAAGCAGGTAAGGGTTCTGTTATAGTATTCATATATATATATATAGGACAACAGGGTGGCAGCTTCTTGTACGGAGAGGTGTCTGTTGGGTAGGCAGTCGCGGCAAATGTCGTACATCCTATTTCCTAATTCTATACAGCTGCAACGCATCCTAAATATATTAATAATAATAATAATAATTTATTACTTATATAACGCAAAATATATGTGGATATGATCTGATGCGCTATACAATAAGACTAAGCAAAATAAAATATGAAAACGAACTATAAAAGGCTAAGAATATACAATTCGACTAACAAAAAAAAGTATGAAAACGAACTATAAAAGCAATCATGAAAATGCCTGTCTAAAGAGATGTGTTTTAAGAAGTATTTTAAAACAATTAAGATCCTTTGCTGTCCTTATATTTGATGGCAATCTGTTCCAAAGTTTAGGGACAGATGCCATAAATGATCTATCGCCTAAAGTTTTCTTAGTTATGGTCCTGGGTGGCAATAATTGTAGTTTAGACTGAGATCGTAACATCATACGTCCGAATTGTTGCTTAACGTTAACGTGGATAGCCTTGAACGCTAAAATAAGTAATTTGAATTCAATTCTGAAGCAGACAAGTAACCAATGCAATGCATGTTGTGTGAAAGAGGCCCTAGATCAGGAATTCTAACTCCATTTCTAGAGAAAATGAAAACAACAAGAAGAATTAACCTACAAGCATTACTTCCATTGCATCTGTTAAATGTGCTCTGGCTCAGCTCTTAAGAGAATTCCCCAACACAGATATCCTCGCTAAAAGGTGAAGCCTTTAAAGGAGCAATGCTTGCAATTCATTGATGATCTTTGAGAACTCCTAATTCCAGATCAAAAGTCATTATAGTTCCTTTTTCTTCACAGACTTGATCTGTCTTCCCCTCGTCCTTTTCCACTGCTAACCAGGTGTTGGTAGGTTCTGCCTCTTCATTGTTTTCGCACAGATCAACCACAGAGTCTACACCTAATTCTCAGAAGAAATCCAGTTGCAAAATAATTATGGGCTAACAGACAGTTTAAATGCTGTTCATCGATATCTGAGATTCAGAGCCCACCTTGGAATATCACTTAGCCAGGGAGAGAGGAAGCTTTTCAATTTTTTTCCTGGTTCCGCTGGAGGGCATGCTCTGTTAGTAACACTTCTTGCCCTGAGAAGCACATAAACAAAACAGTAACTAACATTAAGCAAGGTTCACAGGTTTGAAAGACACATAATAATAATCCTGCCTAGCCAGATGCAAGCAGTGGGCTAGGGTTAGCAGTGACAAAGAAGAGTTTTCCTAGTGATAACTGCAATTTACGCCTTGTGAAGGTGGAAAGGTGGAGCCACTGCAAAAACTCCGCATGAAGTTCCAATAAACGATCATTAGGTACCTCTGAGAGGATTTGTTACGTATCTATGAGAAGCCCCAGGCAAATCGTCCATGTAAAGGGAGGACAGTCTTTTTCGGGAGATGATTGTAGACCCAGTTTGCCAAATAACTCTTTAATTTGACAGGGCAGATGAACGCATACTGAAGAGGCACCTAGTATCAAAATGCAAAAAACTGTCCCACCGAAAGCCAAGATATTTGTAGTCTTTTGGATTGATTGGGAATTCCTGGTATGCTCGTTTTGTCTTTCTTCTATATGTAACGAGCAATTCCTTTCTTTATAATAAATTCTGGCAACCAATCGATTCCAAACATAGTCCAAATAGTGATCTTTAAGAATGCTGCTACTAACAGATGCTGCATATTGGAAACATAGATCCATCACAACGTGCCATTCGGAGGAAATGCACTTGTGAACTGTTTGTAACGGTGACATGACAAGATCATGAGGCAGAGGATTCTGTTTGAAAGGACCGGCAATATGGCTGACTTTCGCAGGTTATGGGTTGTGGGTGGAAGCTGTGGGTCGTGGGTGTGGGTAAAAGTCGTAGGTATCAAAAAAATCCCTCAAGAATTTTTAAAAAATAAAAATAAAACAAAAGGAAACATTGATATAAGCAAAAAACATCTCATAAACTATGGCACGCAGACTTCAAACACACCTCAATGAGCAACTCCACTGACAACTGCACCACTCATCCAGCATTGCAGGCTTAAGTCTAGCTTTGTCCCCTCTCTAAAAAAAATAACTGTCAGAGCATCACTCTCAACATTTGTCTTAGTAGCTATCTTTCCTTCTGCATTGTTACTATTATTGACATTTTTCTCTAAGTAAAGTTCTGTTTCCCTCAGGCATTTATCATATCTAAGCAACTAAACTAAACTGGAGGCTAATTGGAAAACTTAACAGTTATTAAGCTTCCAGGCTCTTCATTTGCACAATTCCTCTGTATGTTGTCAGTAAATTTTAAATTGGAAAATTTAATGACAAGAGTGAATAAAGTAAAGTAAAAGGAGAAGGATCTAAACTGCATTAAAATCAGGCACACGCTTCTATATCAATAATTGTTTGAAGGGATCTTTTCAAGTTACGCGATGTTCCAGGTAAGAGCTAAGAGAGGTATTAAATACAATTGAAAAGCGGAGGAACTCATTGAAAAAATAATACAAACGTTTTCATTTGACTGTATTTCTTAAATCTAAATGTAAGCTTGCTCACCTCTTATCACATCGCCTATTCTTGTAAACAATTACCATTTTTTGCATCGTCATTTTCGACTCAGTTACCTCTCTCAGTTATTGCATAGAAACATTACTTATCCTTTTTCAAAATATAATATTTCAAGACAAACTTGACAATAATCAGGTCTTCTGGGTCCATCGCATCCATTTGAGAAAGAAGGACATTTGCTGTGACTTCCTGCTTCCTGATCTCCTTCGCTGGGAAAGGGAACACCTTTTCTTCATGATTCAGGCATCAACACTATTCTATAGACATAAAGCGTAAAGTCATAAATGATCTGTGGTGAATCATGATAAAGTTAATTGTCTTTTTAACAGATTTTAGGGTCGGAGTTTTAGTTTAGACATGGTGGTAGATTTCCTCACTCCTACGAAATTGATAGTTGTTGTAAAATATGTCAGCTGTATGCAAACACTTTGGCTTGTTATCAGCAGTGATCATTTATCTTCTAAACTGCATTCCAGAGTCGAGAGCAAGATTCTATTCTTAATTATTAAATGATTCACTGACCTTGTTTCCTCTGCCACTGGCATCGCTTCGGACACCAGCTCCAAGGACATTCCCGCATATCGTAAATCTCCCCTCCACCTGTTTCCATTCGGGCACCTGGACTCAGTGCTGTACAGGTGTGGCTCCCAGCTGTCACTCCACTTTTCTCCCCTCCAGCAGAAGGAGAACACACCTTTCTCTTCTAAAATCCATTGTGGTTTGGTTCTCTGAAATGAAACCGAATGTTAAGTTCATGTTCATATCACATCTTTTTTTTTTTTTTTTTTTAATGTTCTTGTAATTCAAGCATCTCACCTGGAAATGCATCAGGCACTGCAGAAGTTGGATCTCTTCTTCCTGCAGAACAATGTGGGCAGACGCTGCATTTATTGAGTGCTGCAGTACATCCTTCTGCTTTACCATGGTAGTGCAGCCAGGCACTATACAGCAGACTGCACTTTCTGGGCACTCGCTCAAATGCAGCATCAATTGGAGCCTGCAAAAGAAATAAAGTAGGTGTGACTGCCATGGGTGACTTTCAGCAATAAATACAGACAGTTTTTAATGCAACTTAATGATATATTCTATTTCAACAATCTCTGATACCAGTTGGTAGCATCATTTAAAACTGTAAACAAAATAACAAGTGAAAACCTATAACAATTTAAATTAAACTAAGTACACTTAGGAAAATTACAGTGAAAATAATGATGAAGCTTACAAAATACCAAAACTCACATTTGCTGGAATTCTCTAATGCTGAATTAATGCCAAACGGCAAAGTGGCTGCATGACGTGCGACATGATGAAATATGATCAGAAGAAATATAATATGAAATATGATTGCAAGCGGCCTTATGGAGTAAAACTAACAACTTCAACGAACACACTATGTTGAATACTTGCTATGTTACATTGCAAAGTGCATGAAAAACTTTTTACTGTAATCAGCATTGTCTGTTTGAAAAACAATAGACAAAAGAAAAAGACATTTGTGTTCTATAGTAGGGACCAGAGATGAGCTGGCTAGTGCAACTTTTGGATATTTTATTGGCCTAGATAAGCATTTTACATTTGATTCCATAATTAAATTGACAATAGCTTGCCGTAGAAGGCTTGTTCCGCAGCCTAAAGGACATACTATTCCCTTATTAGAACAAAGGGAAGCAGCCTGCTCCTCTAAACATTCCCTTGTTACTTTCCTACCGCATTCCTGGCAAGGGACCTTATGCTTTGCATATTAGGCAATGTATGCTGCCATCCCCTCCCTTGCCACCACCTCTCCACACCCTTCATTTGCACACTGCATTGTGAACTTTCCATATGCTTTTCAGTGTTGCTTGTGCTCGTGAAACGTCCCTGTCATAGACAGCCACTACTTTCACACTTGACATCAAACTTTCCTATGATGTCGTTGAGTGCAATGTTGACGTGAAGAGTACCTATTCCGATGGGAGCCTTGCAAAGTGGGCATTTGGAGACAGTTTCAATGTCTATGAGTTTCACCAGGCAGTGTCGACAGCCTGAATGTTCAAATGCTAGAGTCACAGGCTTCACCATTGTTGATAGGCTTCAAAGCTAGTATTGATACATCAAGTAATGCCCTTCAAAGAGGCCCCTGCTAGCAAGGAATTCAGTTCAAACAGCTACACTCGTAAAAGTTGTTGAAGGAAAGTGGAATTTAATCATGGAGCAATGATTCCTAACTCGGAGTTATAACAAACACAAAACATAAATCTAGTTGGTCAAATTCCTGTTGAAGGAGCAGCATTTCTCTCATGTTAGAAAGACAACTGGGGAAGTATAAACTATTTCAGTTGGAAGCAAATAGCCTAATTATTTTTTAACCCTCTATTAGTCATGGGTATGTTATTTAATATTTAAACCTTTTGTCTTTTATTGCTAGAAAAATATCACAAATTTACTTACAATCTCTTTTTCCCAGGAAGTGCTAATTTATTACCACAGTTTAAAAGATTTACACAAAACATTTCAACGAATATCTAAAGTTGGGGAAACAACGAGACCTAAAAATTGGAGAAGTGCTTCCTCAAGCTATCTCCCATAACATTGCCATTTCTTAACCTAATCCACTGCGCATCTTCTCTTGATGCGCAACAATGAAAATGATCAATTGCAGAAGGATAAAAATCATCAGAATGGAAACAAAAAGACTTTCCGTACACAACAGTTAAATAGCATGCGGGGAGAAAAAGTAAACTCAAAATGCGCACGAGTCATAGCAATTATGGCAATAATCATGTACTGTAAAAAGGGTTGGTGTTGTTCATCATGGCGAGTATACTATGTTCTGATAAATTATCACCAACAAGTCCACTCCTTACAAGTCTCCCGTCTTGTCGAAACTTTTCAGAAAATTCCAAGCCACAGCCATAAAACTTTTTGTCTTGTGAAGTCTTACCAGTCTGAACCTATAAGGGGAGTGACCAGAATGCCACCTGTGCAGCTGACTGAGACACATAAGGGGGCACCGAACCATTGTGTGGATTAGTTCCTGCTGGTTGTCGGTATGAAAGAGGCTGATCACAGATGTTTGGACTAGTTGTAGCTGCTGCAGAGGGTGGAAGGTTACTCAAAGTAGACGAGAGTTGTTGCTGTAGCTGAAAATTACTTGCATTGTATAGAAACTGACTTAAGGTGCCTGGATCAGACAAATAGCGTGAGGGATCTCTCATCGCTAATGTACTGGCCCACTGCAAGTCATGTGCGGGAATAAAATGATAAGAACTATTAACGAGTAGCTTGAGTATACTTCAGAAATCTGTTTGAGTTGAGACTGATCATCTGTCACATCAGTTGTGTTTTGCAGCTGAGTGAGTGGCATTGGTGTTGAGGCGAAAGGTTGTTGCATGAACATGTAGGCATCTTGAGGGCATGTGAATGGTTGTTGTGAGGAGCTTCGTTCATTTTTTTTCCTTCGCATTCCTTTTGCTGTACTGTTTCGTTCTTTGCAGGTAGTGGCCAAAGTTAAGGTTGATTTGGAAATCACTTAAGGAGACAATATCTTTTTAGAGTTGTGCTGCCCTGGCTTGTTTCTGAAGGTGACTTCTGGCTTTCTTTTACTGGAAAGATGGGCCTCGCCCAAATGACATCGAGCTTCCCTTTTCAGTAGCCTTTAACTCAGCAGTGAGCAAAGTACTGTCTTCTGCAACGATCTGAGCTGCGTTTAATAGAGGAAGGTTGGGGGAGTCACAATTGCTTCATCCAGTATGCATTACCTTGGCCATGCTCATTTTGGGTGCATTCTTGGGTGTGAACACACTGAAAATAAATTCTCTTTGACTGTGCCATCACTTAATCTAGGAATTTAGAAATTGCAGCTCAGACTTTGCTTCAATAAATTCTTTCAGATCTTTTTTTAGTATTGAGATAGGTTGTCTCTAAGTTAAAAGATAGTGTTTGATCGAAAACCTTTCCATTGCCATCATTGAGTTTCCTTGCCACTATATTCCTGCTTTCCTTAAAATGAAATTCGCAAGTCTTGTTGCATGTAAGGATGTTGTCTCCAAACACCTTTTGCAAGCTGTTCATGTTGGCACTAGCCATGTTCATACACCAGCCTTTCAAGGTGACGTAATTTCTGCGTAACTTTACTTTCCCGTCAAAGTAACAATACTCTTCCTGTAGAAAGTGATACCCGTCCTTGTTCGTCTTCATAGCAATATCCATTCTTTCATGGCTCATCTTAAAAAAGAAAATAAGGGATGTCTGTATTACCATGACTGTCATTGACCTTGTTCAATAGAAGATTATCTTTTTCATCGTAGTATAATTTAAAAGTTACAACAGCCTCGAAGTTTTTGCTGCTGGTTCGAGATCCACTTTCTGTCAATAATAATATATAAATAATGATAATAAATGACAATTTATATAGCGCCCTATCCAAAAGCTCTAAGGCGCTTCACAATCAAAGTAAAAAGATAAAAATAATAATCAAACGTAATCATTCATAAAAATAACGCTTAAAAAGATAAGTTTTAAGACTACATTTTATGTATTCAGGAATGTCATTCTTTACAGCTTAGGTGCAGAGACAGAAAAGGCGTAATCGCCATGAGATTTCAACTTGGAGTGAGGAATCACTAACAAGTTCCTACTGGATGATCGTAAAAGTCTGGTAGGCTTACAAGTTTCTAACAAGTCACTGATATAACTCAGGCATAAATTATTTAAAGCTTTAAAAGTAAAAAATTAGATTTTTAAAATAATCCTCTGCTCTAGGGAAAGCCAGTGCAGTTCCCTCAGTAAAGGAGTAACGTAATCATGCTTGCGACCACATAAGATCAGCCGTGCCGCACAATTCTAGGCTAATTGCAGTCTATGAACTAAATGCTTTGGAAGACAATAGAACACTGTCCACTGTGCTCTTCATTTTTCCCCAGTCTTCCCTCTTCTCAATGATGACATAACTAAAGGAGACTGTATTTCACTTGGTGTTAATTTGGAATTTTTCTTGAATATTTCTTTCACTTTTTGTTTTGGTTCTCCTGGCTATGACAACAGTGGGCATGTGAGGGTACCCAGGTGAAATACTCTGATGCTCTTTTTGCCTTCCTTTATGTATCACCTTGTGGTGTAAGGTACATATTCACCTACCATTTCACAGATGTGACCCATTCAGCATCATTAGGATCCCCTTTTGCCTCAATGACCCTCCTCTTAGCTTCTTTCTCCACCTAGTATTAAAAACATGTGGTTCAATAAATAATACATTTATTATAGTAAAACATCAAAAATTAATTATGGGTTCTAAAATTATGTTTATTTGATAATTAATGAAGTTAAACTTGTTTTAAGTACCTGTTCTTTTGACAATTGTGCTCCAAAAGCTTCTTCACTTTTCTGCTTCCTTACAAGTTCTGCAACGTCTTTTGCTTGCTCACTAAATGCCCACCTCAACTCACCCTTTTTAAGAAAATGTACAATAAATTTCCTTGAAGGGTTTGAAGACATGATGATCCACAGATAGCTGTCAAGATGAAATAAGTAATATTGTGATTTGAATACATCAAAATGCATCCAATCACAAGAATTGCCTGCCATCTCTTTGTTTACCATATCTTGATTCATCTCTGCTAATGCTGCCTTTAACTCGTTACTAGTGCCAACGAAGTTTGTTCCTTGATCTGACCTCAGTTGTCTCACAGGACCTCGATGTCCAATAGAACAGCGATAGGGATTTTGGAAGGAGTCCGTCGTAACTGATGCTGCTGTTTCAGGATGTACTACAAGGGACAAAATGCTTGTCAAGAGGACTCATTACATCATTACATGTAAAATAGAAACAGAAACGTTACGTTCCGATGACAAATGTTGATCACTGCACTAGTTTGTACAACATTCTTGTGTCGAGCTGCAGAAATTTTCTTTTCTTTTAAGCAAAAAAAAAGCTGTCAAGTATTGCCTGCTTGAGCGAGATGTCACGCATTTTGCTAAGCAAAGTGGCCACTTTGCTTGTAGCTTCAATGAGTTCCTCATTCCAGTGAAACTCAGCAAATGTAGCAAAGTCATCAGCATCTGCTAATGCTTCTCTCACCAACTGAAAGTTTGGTCCACAAAGCAGAGGGCCAAATTAATCAGCTTCATCGCATGCAACATTTGCATCCTCATCGCTTTTGTCTGGAATATTGGATAGTTCATTCCTAACTTCGCTTTGACTTCTTGCATTATTTACAGGAATCAGTGCCAGGAGCAGGGAACAGAGTGATTGTTGATGTATTCATCTAATGTCACTGGGCTTTTCTCACTTTGGTGTTGCTGACTTTGCAACATACTTTCCCATGTTTAGTGTGGTACCCATAATTTTTTTGCTCTGCCTGACACAAACTCCGTGATATAATTGTTATCATCAAGCTCGTTGATCATGTCATCCAAATAATCTCCCAGAGGGATCTCAGATTGACCAGGTTTACATGAATATATCATGGAGTCTATCTCATAATAGAGGACTCGGTCACCTGGTACTTCTAGTGATTTGTACAGCTCTAGGCGTGCCTGCCAGGTCTTGAAGGCAGCTGCGTAGATGTTAGTGCGTCCACCCTTGTCCGCATCTTCAGAGGTGGTTTTATAACTTCTCTTCTTCTACTTATAACCTCTATCATGTCTACAGATAGAATCTGTATCCCCGTAGTTCTTTCAGGGGGTTTGCGATAATGCTCAACAGTTCAAAGGCTTCAGTCATTTGGCTGACTTTGGTCTTGTTTAGTGATTCTCTGAACTTCCCCCAAAAACTGTTCAACATTAATTTTGTGGTAGTCTTTGGCCCTGGGTTCTTTTGATATTTGGCCTCTTTCCAAATCCATGCGTGTACCTGTACAAGTAAACAGAACATTCACTAAACATTTTGTTTCACGCATTTTTCCTTAGATAGAAAAACAAATACACCCTTCCTTTCTCCAGATAACGTTCCAGGTACTCCCCCTGCTTCTGTCAAAGGACCATTGGGTCAGGTTCTGTGGCCACTACTGTAACCCAGGAGGGCCAGCCACCTGACTCCTGTTTAATTTGGAGCCAGATATTGACATAGGAGACAAAAAGTCCACATTTTCTCTGCTGCTCAGGAAAGTGATGGACTTGATGTATTTTGAGCATATGATACCTCATGTTCAGCACCTTCATGATCTCAGGAGTACACCATGTACCATGTAACATACGCATCTCCTTGGAGTGTACACAGTGTACCCCTCGATCGTGAAAGGGGTTTGGCTGACTTCTCCTTCACGCATGATCTACACAATAGAAAGGTGAGTTTCCCCATATGACAAAGTGGCAGAATGGGATTAAACAGACCAGGTGGTGGTAAAATATCAACAGACATGCTACCGTTGTATGAAGAGGGATCTTGATCCTCAAGGTTGTAGATGATGGTTGAGTGACCAATAGGATAGGTCCCTCATTAATTGACCCAGGGGCACTCTGAAATCACATTCACGTAGGGGGTTTCTTCCTCCAAAGTGTTTTCAGAAACACGGTATAGGGACATCACCGCTGTTCGGCCACCTAAGAAAGCATCATGAGGATTTAGAGGTGGCACCCTGCTGAGTTTGGATATAGTCTGAGATGTGGAAGTTGGCATTGATCTGGGTGTGCCATGGACACTCCCACGCCTCAACAACTCTATATCCCCATTCCTTTAAGGTGGCAGTCTTCTCATTTGTTTCCTGGTAAAGGGCCACCATCATCCTGTCCCCAAGATTCCAAGCAATTTGTTTGCAAACAGGGAAACAGTTACAACACCTGTGCCACAAACGGCCATGAAATTCATAGACTGTTTGCGAAATGGGGTCAGAACCATCCAGAAACATGGGTCTGTGTCTGGCTTCCTGACCAGGGGGTAGAATGATGTTTTGTTCACCACCATTTCCTACATGTAGAATGGCTGCCATTCCATCCTCTGGGTTGTTTGACGGCCTTGGTCTTGGGGGTGAGATGAAGCTTATGCCACTTCTCAATGAGGTCAAAATCAGCTTTTACCCAGAATTCAGCTATGAACTTCTGATCATAGCAATCATCTTGTTCTTCATACTAAACTCAATATTCATTGTCACTTGGTTTGTGTGCCAGGATGCAAACCCAACTTTTTTCCTGGCTGCCATAGCCCCCAGATCATAGTACTTGACTTCTGGAATAGGTCTCACATAGGTTTGGTTTTCAAGGCGATTAAACAAATGAGAGAAGTATCCATTTTTTGAGCTCAGTTAATCCGAAGGTTGCAGGAAAGGAGGCAAGGGCCATTGGTAAGAAACATTATAAGTCCTTGAAGGTGATGTCACCCACGGACATTGACTTGACTTTTGTTCAATTGGTGATTATGCTGTCGATGACGCATTTCTGTTTGGTGAGTTCTTCCTGGATAAACATTCCATCATACCCTTTGAAATTGTGAAATACACATATCACTTTTCGGTCTTCACTGAATTGGTTGATGGTATGCTCATTCAGGAAGTCAAGGAGCTCTGCACTACAGTTGTCACCGTGAAACACACGTTGGTGGTTGTCTTCAACTGTCTTGGCACAGATGAGAATGGGGTAGTGGACACTGTTTTCATCAATCATGGCCTCATTCGGGATTGGAGGATCTTTATAAGTACTTGCATTTGGGTCGATCTTTTATCTTTCTTTTAATTTTTTTATATATATTTTTTGGGGTTCAAACACTTTAAACATTTCTGAAGAAACTTCTTCACAGGTGATGATAGGTTTCTGTTCACTCTTCGGTCTGCAGATCCAGTCATTACAGGCAGGGCATCTGCACCCCTCAGATGGGTGATGGCGGAACTTTTCTTGGTCATGACCACAGTTGTATTCGTGGCAGAAATACGAATTTTCCAAAAAAGTTATATACAAAATGCAACTGTGGAAATAAGTATCCTCTTCGAGAAGCAGGATCTGATTACATGCTGTTGGATCTGTTGGGTCTTTGTACACAACCATGAAGGGATAGTCCACGGTTAACACCTTAATTTTGTATGTGGAGCAGAAATGGTTTGAAATTTTTGAATTTCATTAAATCTACAGGGACCTTCAGGTACACCTGTAAAAAATGAAAATGAAGTTTACTAATAATACTAACAATACAATATAAAATAGATTTTTTAAAATACATACCTGCGTCCTGATGTAACTTGTGGGCTTATCACAGTTGCACATGAGGATAAAGGCGAATGTTTTCATAATGGTTACAGGTCGTATAATTCTTGTCTTTAGGCAGATGAGCCATAGTAAGGATGATGGCCCAGGCACAATATAGTTGGTTTTCAGGGTTCTTTATTTGAAGTATGCAATGTTTGTTCTGTAAGAGAGTCTGTTTAGCTTTCTTCCCAAGATAAAAATTGGATTTTGATCTTGGCTTCCCATCTGGTTTGGGAACCTTTGTTATGGTTTGATCAGTTTATTTTAAAGGATTCACGTTTGAAACAAATACCATGTAAAATTTATCATTACAGCTTATTATTAGATAAAAATAAAATTTTAATTATTGAAAAATTACTTGAATTTAACTTCTTGGCCAGGGATACTAGATATGCGTTAAAACGTTCCAAATCCACACGCATTTCCCCCACATCAAAATTGGTAGATTGCAAATTCGTTGGACTGCGTATTTAAATGCACATGGTGATGCGGTTCTGCATCGCAAAGAGTGTCACATATCGACCTATAACAAAAATTGCATCACATTAATTTCTGTTTTAAATCCATAAGGAATCATTTTAGTTAAGTGAGTGAATATTTAATTTCTCTCGGTTTTTGCTAGGTTTTCACTTGCATCTCTCTCGCTTTTTGCTTGGTTGTCTCTCAGTTTTTTTGTGTTCATTGTATTATCTCTCAAACAAATGATCCTTTTTTCAGTCATAAATATTCTATGTCACATAGCGTTGCATGATTTAATGATTCCTGTCTTACCTTTCCACGTGGGGGTGCACAGTTGTCTAAGCGCAGCAGAATATCTTTTATTTTGAAGAATATTCTTCCACGTACGTTGGGATCCTTGTGGGGTAAACTGTAATTCAAATGAGGGAGCCTTTGTTTCTTCTTCTTCTATGGCTTCAACGGCTTCTGCAATCGCTATCATTTCTTCGTCCCCAACATCGTCATGGTATGGACTTTTCGTGAACATATTGTCTTCTTTGTACTAAAAAAGCGGGAAGATGTTATCTCCAAGTCAGTTAGGTGCAACTGCTGATGTAGAATAAAGCAATACTTGTGAGTTTGCTTTTATAGACATTATACTAATGAATTCTGGACATGATCAGGCAAGGATTGGATTTTGCCTATGTTATGCTATTGACTTTTGGACAAGTTTGGGAAAGGGAGGGCATGTATGGGCAGCTTTGCAAAAAATTTTATTTACAAAAAATGTTTATTAAATAAAACCTCATTTACAAATGGGACTTATGTTCTCCTTTGTGGAGAGCACCCAAGATAACAAGAACTACATACAAGAGTAAACTTAAAAAGTCGATATAACATGATTTACAAAATGTGCCCTTGCAACAGTTTCTTTTTTGCTGTTAGCTAAATAAACCATTACCTCAGGTTTTTTCTGTTGGTCGTCCCCAAAAAGATGTATGAAAAAGCATGGTTCTAAAAGGAAACAAATAATATCTATTAGGTTGTATAAAAAATCTAATTCGTGAATTGACCTTATTTACTTACGAAATTTGTTCAGGTTCAGCCATCATGGTACTTCTTTTATGCAAATTATTCAACTGAAAAATCAAGTGTACTTCGAAATTAAATACTAGGTATTTTTATATCAAACCATCTCTTTATTTAATATTCACTAACAATCTCATGTTAGTAAATGAAATGTAGGGATCCTTTCGTTGATTAAGAAATGGTATTCTCACCCTGGAACACTGATAAGGCAAAGAATTTGAAAACGTTCGTAACCAACGCTTCGCGTATACCAAAACATTCGCTAATGATCCAACTCTTTTTTTTTATCTTTTTCTTTAATTAACAAAAGATACTGTATTGTTACCATGAAACACTGATACGGCAAAGAATTCGCAAACGTTTTGCGTGTACCAAAACGTTAGCTAAGCAAACCAATGCTTTATTTTACCTTTTCCTTTAATTAACCAAAGATACGGTATTGTTACTCATAGAACATTAATGGGGCAAAGAATTTAAAAAAATGTAACTACATGTTTGTAAATGACGTTTTGCGTATACCAAGACTTAAGTTAATAAACCAGCGCTTAAATTTACCTCTTCCTTTAATTAACAAAAGATACAGTATTGTTACCCATAGAACACTGATACAGCAAAGAATTCGAAAACGTTTGTAAACAACGCTCTGCATGTACCAAAACATTAGCTAATAAATCAATTTACCTTTTTTATTGAATAAAGGAGGCAGTATTAAATGGTATCAGAGGACCTTGAATTTCTATTGTGGTTACAAAATCAGAATTGTCGGTGATGCAATGACAAGGTCTATGCTTATCACATAAAAGAAAAATATGATTTGATTTAGTTACCGCTATTATTTACCGGTAAGTTGTGGAGGTGTATTTTACTACACAAGGAAGAAATGTCTGGAAATCGCTGAAAACAATAAGCACCCTGTTATCTTTGATGGCAACATGGCCTTCAACCAAAAAATGAAGAGATAATTGAATACTGTACGATTTGCCTGATGATGGTTGATACTGATTTGCGGAATGCCACCACATGTGGTATTGCAGCGTGAACGTATCAGGGTCTTAAAAGATAAAAGCTCCATTAGAGTAATTATCCATAAACATAAATTTTTAGCCAACTTTTTTAGTCCGTGGAAACGTCAACAAGATGACCACATTCTTAATCTTTTCATTGATAGTAGTTTTCCGCTTTCTAAATTTGTAAATTATTTTTTCTGTTTCAACCGTTACAGATCAAGGTTGGTGGAGAAATGCAGAAATAATTATTCGTTACATAGTGTGTTTGTTGATTCTTTTTTGTAATCAAAGATTTATTTTCTTTTACTGCTACTACTATTGTTCATCCATCGTTTCAGTTTAGATTTTGAACATTATATTTTAGTCAGTTTAGATACTGTAATCCTGGGTCAGTGTTGAAATAAAGCTTTGAAAGAAATACTAGTGTTGTTTGCTCAGGCATTTAGCATCTGAATAGGTCCTCCCTTGGCTCTCCCCTCTTTAGGTTAGTTATAAAATAAACTTTGAAAGAAATACTAGCATAGTTTGCTCAAGTATTTAACATTTGAATGGACTCTCCCTCTACTCTACTTCAGCAATCCCTCGGCTCTCCCCTCGGCTTTTCCTTGTGCTGGTGACCTGCTCTCATGGCTTGATGATTACATGTCTGCACGTAAACAGTTTGTCCAAGTATCAGGATATCAGTCCAGGTCCAAAACCATCACATAAGGAGTTTCCCAAGGTTCAATATTTGGGCCCAAATTGTTGTAAACAACCTTCCAGAATTGATAACAAGTGGTGATTTATTCATGTTTGCTGATGATACTACAATTGTTACAATACAAGCTGATTTATTGCTAGCTTATTTATTCTTACAATACAATTGGCAGGAACATTGACAACATCATCTTAACATTAAAAGCTATATTAGTTTTCAACAAAGTCTACGAGTCGTCAACTTTCCCTGTCGCCATGAATGATCAACTAAAAAGGTTCAAAGGAATGGTCAGGGGCTAGCTTTGTTGGCTCAGTTGAGTTGCGGTCAGCTGAGCTTTTTGCTAGCAGAAAACGATCATATGTAAATTTCCTCTGAGTTGAAAACAAACCTTTTGAAGGTGCTTCTTTGATTACATGTTTTTATGATTGCGGCATGATTGATTTTTCCTTCCTGTAAGATACAATGGGTGGCTCGTTTAAAGATATGTGCAAGTCTAGGCTCCTGTTGAATGATGTTCCAGTGTTCCATGAGAACCTTTCAAAGATTTGGTGTGGCCGGGTTATACATGGTAACAAACGGTAAAATTTCTTTCACATTCTTTGTTTTGTTACAGGGGGTCTTTGTTCTGAAGAACTGAACTCCAGTATGGATTTTATGCATAAACGTCACAGGATAGCTTCTGAGTCTTTGCTGAAGATCTCGTTTGTGTTTATCAAAATTCTCCTTTACTGAGTTGGTTCTTAACAGACAGTGCTTCTCCTTTGATAAAACCCTTTTTTGTTTTAAAAGGGTGACAGGATGAGAAGTGAGTATTCTGAAAAGTTTCAGTGAGCTTGATGTGGGTTTGTGAATCGAGAATTTTAAGAGTTGAGGTCCTTTGAATATCTCTGTGCTAAGAAAAACAGTGTGTTCAGGTGACATTTCAGAAGTAAACTTGATTGTGGGGTGGAATGAGTTGGCGAAGTCTACAAAAATAAAAATTTCCTCTATTGGAATGTTCCACCTCTTACAGATGAATGGTCTAAGTGGACTAGCTAATACCAGTCATTTCGCTAGGTCTGCCAAGAAAATAACAGAAAAAGTGACTGCCATTTTAGTTCCCATAGCGTTGCCGTGAGTTTGTATGAAGTGTTTTTCATTCAAATTGAGAGAATTTTCTTTAAGCATAACCTACATTAGTTCCCATAAATCACTTGTAGGGAAAGGTAATTTCTGCTCATAGTGATCTTTGTAATAGTGGCAAACAATATCAATTCCTTCTTCTTGATGACTGTTGGTGTAGAAAGACTAACATCAAGTGTGGTTAAGTCCATAGTGTTTTTATATAGGACTCTTATTTAGTGGCAATAGGTTATGGCAATAGTGTCTTGCACAATAGGTGATGGGAGAGGCTTGTGAACATTGGTGTCACTCTGACAGATTAATAGCCCACAAATTGAAGTCTAAAGCACTGAGGACTTTGAATCAGAACTTTATTGACCCCTCGCCACACTGGAAATACAGTAATGGTACCATTGAGTAAAAACTATCATCTAAATGTCTTGGGTTAACAATCAACAACAAGCTTTCATGGGCATGCTAAGAGCACATTGTGAATGTTTTTAGGTCGTCCAGCAAGAAAGTGGCAGTTTTAAAACAGATAAAGTTTTTACGGAAACCAATCTTTGAAACTGTTTATTACAAAACAATTATCCCTAGTGTTTTGTACCTCATTGTAATTTAGGGGTTTTGTTTTTCATTATTAATAGATGATATTGATCGAGTTCATTTACTAGCAAACAGAATTATTTACAATCTACCCCATGATATCCATTGTGATGATATCATGAATACTCTACACTGGAAATTTTATAACTTCATTTTACATCAAAAGACTTTTAGTTATTATAATGTCCACGGCAGAAAACAGGCAAGAACTACTCCACAAAACAGCTTTAATTTCGGTAAACACAAAACTTCGTTACCACATGTGATCTTGTTATATATCTCTTAAAGAAAAACAAATGCCCGGATCACTTAACTAAATAACCACTGACCTATCATGAACATTACGGTTATCACAAATAATATCTATTATGGAAACAGTGTCGAATCCCTCAATCACTTAATAGTTAAACCTGAGACTACCTATCACTTTGCAAAGCCCTTAAGTGTCAAGATTCATAGCCAAGAACTGAAGTAGGCAGATCTTCCCTCGAGCACAGAGCTGCATTATCCTGGAACCTCCTTCCTGATGACATCAAAAACTGTTCTAACTTAGCTACTTTCAGGAGAAAACCTAAGGAAAATAAGAATATTCTAAAATCTACTCTTCCTGTGGAATATGAAGAGCATGAATTTGAACTTGAATGTGATCTTTCTTTTGTGGACTCTTTCAGAGAGTTTGCATGCCCTAGTAGTCTTTGTGCTAGTGATCGCACGGGCAATGATTCCGACAATATTTCTCACTGACTACAATAGTGGCTGTGATTTAGGTTCAGATGGTAAGGATGATATGGAGTCAGAGCTAAGAGATGTTGAAGCAGACTCTGTTGGTAACAATGAGGAAGAGAATGTAAAGAAGTTTGTACAGGATACCTCGCTCAGTAGATATGAAAAAGAAAATGGGATGCTCCATAGATCATTTCAAACAACTTTCACAATGGTGTAAAGATTTGCATAGAAGTGGAAATAAGGATGGTGCTGCTCACTAGCCAAAAAGTGGTGTGATGTACAAACTTTACTGAAAGAACTGGATTTTTCTGAACCAAAACATTACCGGATTTGTTCTGGTAATGACCGTTTAAGTCACTATGGGTTGACGCAATCAAGAGATGAACCTTGACCTCATTGATGTAATGCAGGAACAATCCCATACTACTTCTTGGGCCTATCAGATGAAGTAAAAGAACTGGTGCTCCTCTCCAGAAATGAGCCAGAAAATGACTGGCCATTAGTAGCAACGTGACCACTTGCTTCCTGATGAGTTGAAAGATAGTTGGGGGGGCCAGTGAAGCATGAAATTGGGGATGGGACAAGGTTTGCAGAACTTGCATATGTTTGGGATCCAAACACAATTTGGACTCTCCTGGTCAGGTGCACTTATCCAGATTACAATGCTTTCATTTCTGCTACTGAAATTGTTAACTCTGCTGAGGTAGGTGTTGGCCTAAAGAAGATCAAGGGTTGATCATGTGGTAGAATATTTCAACATTTTCCAAGGGTACCACATGGAGATCCTCGTAACTTTCCTTATTGTGCTAAGTTGAGAAATTGTTTTAAAGATTGCTAACTTTTATTGTACTTGTCCTTTTTTCCTTACATCTCTCTGAGGTTTCACTGAATCCAGAAATGCAATCCCTTATCCTACACACAGAGGTCCAACTAATTTTTCACAAGTTCTAGGGGATTGCATGTAGGTGTAAAAATGTTTAGGAAAATAAAGGTGTGCGTAAAATCAGTCTCTAACATTTCTGGGGATATTGACCAGAAATGGGATTTGAAGTAGATTTAAGTTGATAATTTGTCGATGGACTCTAAATAGTTTCCTATAGACACAGAGTGCTTTGGTGTAGTTGGGTGACTGCTGGTGTTGTTTAAAGGATTTTTACTCCCCTTGTACATGATTATTGATTGATAATTATATGTATATGTTACACAAAGTAATGGATACAAAGTCAATACAAACTGCCGTACTGTATTCTGCTCTCCTCCACACAATCAGAAGGTCCCGAATCTAGTTACCAGTACCACAATCTCTTTCTTTTTCAAAAAAGAAACAAACAAACAATCAAACTACTAAAAGGTCCAAGAGAAAATAAACAGGAATCCTGGTGTACCTAAACAGGTGCTTAGACTTTTACTCCAGTAACTAAACGTTTTGCACTCTGTAAGTGAAAGTGGCCCAGTAGGCATCAGGCCAAAGTTCAACTGTTACACAGTTTCTTAGGTTGTTAAGACAGTACATAACCAGCTAAAGCTCTTGGGGGGGCCAGCTAAGTCTTCCCGACTGCTGCGGGGTAACTCTCTCTCCTGTGGGAGTCATTCCTGGACAAGACTTGTCAGGCACTTTCAAATTTGAGTACCAAGACTTCCTAAAGAAAACAAAATTTTAGACATTTGAGATAAAATTCATACACAAACCAAAACATTTAAGGAGGACCAACCTCTAACCTCAACAAAAATATTTTTTTAATTTGAAGGCATATTTACCAATATTCTTTCCTGCTGGCCAGGAAGTACTCATGATAGCCACGTATTCTGGACCAGTAACATTTGCAGTTAATTGCAAAACAACCATCGCTCTCTCGATGATGATGTTCTTCTTAGAGACAGTGGGTATGCCTGCAGCCCATTCCTAAGGACACTATTCACAACAACAAGAACTCCATCCCAAGAAGCTTACAATAGTGCACACACACACACATAAATTATAATGATAATGGTTTATTAACAGTTTATCCACCTAATGGCTCTTTACCTGTTAAGAACTACAATATAAAAATGGAAAACTGCAAATAAAAAAGTGTGTAATCTACAATAAAATTATATATAACAACTTTATTTAAATAATTACATATAACATATTATTATTAAAAAAGGGTTATAGAAGGGAGGAACTTAATCCTCATAGTAAACTATATCCCAGATATAAAAATTTAATACTATGCAATATACATATACATACTGAAACATTTTACATACAGGCATATATCTATATAAATATAAAATCTAAACAAAGAAGAGATATATAAGATAAAAATTTTGTTTAAAATTATAATTAAATAATGTATAATACATAGAATAATTTAATTTTTAGTTATAGGCCTAGTTAAAAAATGTTGATTTATGAGCTTTCTTAAAAGCATTAATCGAGTCAAGTTCAACTACTGATGACGGTAAACTGTTCCATGTGTCGATATGTCTGTGCCAAAAAGAGTAATTAAAGATGTCTGTACGGCAAAATGGTTTATATAGTTTAAACTGATGACTTTTTCTTGATTGCCTGTTACTGAAAGATATGTAATTAATAGTGTTTACAGAAGAGTGTCCTTTAATGAACTTTAAAAGGTGAACCAAACTAAGAAACTCTCTGCGCTGAACTAGTGTCGCTAGTTTCAAGGATTTCAGTCGGTCTTCATACGGAGTGTCTTTACCAATGATCCATCTTGTAACGTTCCTTTGCACGCATTCAAGTTTTTCAATCAGATATGCTTGGTGAGGATACCACGCTTGACAAGCGTACTCGAGTATTGGACGTATCATGGATCTATAACCAGTAAATAGAGCCTTTGAGTGAGATCCAAATGTCCGCTTGAGTAAGCCCAATAATCTGTTCGATCTTGCAACAACAGACACTACGTGGGGTTTCCAAGATAAATAACTGGAAAGAACTACCCCAAGATGTTTTTGTGTAGGTACTTGGGTAAGTAGCTTGCTATTAATAGTATAGTTGCACGGAGAGGGAGTTCTAGCCATGGTGAACTTCATGGACTCGCATTTGTCAGCATTTGTTCCTAAAAGCCACGAGCCACACCAATCAGTGACTTTATCAAGACTCTCCTGTGCAGTGATGGACGTTTGATCCCATCCGGACCATGAGCTTTTGTAACGTTTAAACCAATGTGCAATTTCTCGACCTCAGATTTAGAGCAAAGTAGACTTGAGATAACTTGACCAGTAAAAGGTTGAAGATCGTCACGTAACTTCTCAGGAATACCAGGACTCTCTATAAAAACCGATGAGAAGAAGTTGTTGAATAGCTGTGCTTTATCGAAGCTGTTTGAAGCCTTTTGGTTCTCCAGGGATACTTCAAGTGGAATAGATCGTGATTTCGTCTTAGTTTATATGAAATTCCAGAAACGTTTAGGATTGTTACTGTTTTGAAGAGACTGAACATGGTGCCATTAGCTCTTGTTTATTTCAGATTTGACCTTGTTTCTACACTACTTATATTTTTCCCAGTCAGATTGAAGTTGAGATGATTTAGCTTTTTTCCATAAGCGTTTCCGTTTGTGAAAAAGGCGAAGAATTGCAGATGTTAACCAAGAAACATTTCTTTTTCTTTTCAAATGATGTGTATTGATGTTTTTATTAACAGCAGCAAAGAACAATTCTTTCCATTTAGTCCACATTTGATCAACATTGTTCTCTAAGAATACATTGCCCCATGGGGCATTGGAAAGATCAGAGCGAAAACCTTCCCAATTTGCATTTTTGTAATCGTAAACGATCTTTGGAGCTTGATTTGGACGGGAAATAAAGACATTAAAGTCGAAACAAACAACGTTATGATCTGAATTTCCAAGGCCACAGTCTATCTCAACATTAGCCAAATGAGCAGGAGTGTTGGTTTAGATTAAATCCAATAAAGCATCTCCTCTGGTAGGTTTATTCACAGGTTGCGAGAGGCCAAAACGATTAATAACAGAGTCGCAGAAGAAATCGCTGATAATGTCCGCCTGCCATGGAGCTACAAGGTTCCAGTTAACATTGGGTAGATTAAGATTCCCAAGAAAAAGGATATTACTTGATGGTGAAAATGTTTCTAGCGATTGGACCAGTTTAGTTAGGTAGGCCATGTCGCTGCTAGGAGAGCGGTAGTATACTCCAATAAAGTATGTTGAGCAGGGATTGAAATGAACTTCACACCAACGGATTTCACAGTCCGTTTCGAGGTCACAACGTCTATAACAACAAATCTTATCCCTTAGGGCTAACAAAACACCACCAACTTTTCCTAGGCGATCTCTTCGGTAGATATTATAATCAGATGACAGGATTTCTTGATCCATTATTTCAGGGTTCAGCCATGTTTCAGTTATAGCGATGATGTCTAATTCCTTTGTAGCGACCATAGCTTGCAGCTCAGTTCTCTTGTTGACAATTCTACGGGCATTTAGACTGCATGATTTGAGAGTCGAGGAATTGAGAGGCCCAGGGTTCAGTTGAATGTCGTTAGATATTAGAAGGAAAAGAATGAATAGATATTTTCTGGTAGAATAGCGATGGCGAAGCATCGATTTTCCATATTTGACAAACTTTCGGTGACTTATCCTTGGGAATGTAGCGGCCAGGACGATAAGACCTTTTGCGACTATTAGAAACCAGAGAGCTACTGTCTTTCACCTTTACTCAGAGCGTGATTTCTTTGAGTTGTGAGGAGGCTTAAGGTGGTTTTTGCATTGGCTTTGTGTAGTTTTTCAGAACATTTCAATCCGCAATGAACGTGTTTCAATGTTCTCTGTTTTGTTTCCAGGAAAGATACATCTGTGACCTCAGCAGTAAGGAGACCAAAGCAATTTGCTCTCTATACCTTCCCCAACAAGTTGTCATCAAAAGAGCTCCTAATTACCAAAAATATTACCCCAATGGAACTCTGTGCTGAGTACTGGAAATTCTTCATCTCATGAAAACCAAAATATGTTTGCAGATTAGCCGATGATGAGAAATTTGGATTTCAGACTTTTTCTTTGACAAGCCAGTATGCTGCGCTATATGCCTTAAACATGAGGTCATTTCTGTGGAGTTTCTTTTCCTGCACTTTTTTTTAATGTAATGTAGAGTTCGCAATTTTTATTAACAAAATATAGAGACTTGTCCCTGTATTTCAGACTCAATGGGATCTTTGTGTTGCTGGATCATCTCGTAAACTGTTCACAGGGTGTGGCGTGAACATTTTGTGTTGCTTGCATAAGAAGTAAAACATTCCTTCTTCTTCTTGCAAGTGTTTAGGCTCTTCTGGAACAACCAGTTGTGCAAAAATCTGTCCTGTCCAGACCTAAGCTGAGATTTTTTGTGAGTTGATAGGTGCTAGAAATGGTCTCTAGCGTACTTGTAGAAGTTGTATATGATAATGTCTGTTGAAAGGGAAAATAGTATTTCAAATTCTTTCATAGTCAGAGGTGTGTCTGCAGGTGATTTCTCTAGGTTTTGCATCACCTCTTTTGTTTGTAATATTGTCATACTTCCCTCCCTTGGTTATTGAGGAAACTATCAGTTCATATGCAATCCAACTTTGAATCATCTTCACTTGCTTTGCACTGACATAAGCTGTTCTCTGAAAGTGTCCTCAGCTCAACATGCCTTACCTCTCACCCGTCTATTTTCACTGTAGTTAGTTCTTGGTGATACTTCTGGAATAGCTGCTCTGTGTGCTAAGAGACTACATTTGCCCATTTTCTGAAGTGTTTGGGAGACCATTCAGGGGTGAAGTAGCATAAACCCCAAGTTGCTATCAACTTCAAGGAACTGTTTATCTGTAATATTAGGTTGATTAAACAAAGAAACATTGTCTGTAAAGCAACCTCGCTGCATGAACTTCCATGAACTATCTTCTGTAGCCTCTGATCACTTTTCATCTCCTCTTGGTACTTGCTTTTATGTTGCACTACATCTGCACTAAGCAGATCTTGAAGTCTGTAACCCTCTTCAGTATATTTGCAAAGAGGGATGTCTAGCGCTTGGAAAAGCTTAACAACAGCAACTGCACCAACATTGAAATGTACCACTTCCAATGTTAATTTCTTTTGAATTTCTCAGCCACACCATCCCATTCAAAGATATGTTTTGATCCTGTTTCTTGCCATGTAAGCACTTCTGCAGTAACTCATCCTCAATTAGTCTTAGATTCAGGCTTTAGCATGGCGATAACAATGCCTGATATTCTAGAAAAGTCATTTCCATGTGGTTTTGAAGCTTACATTGTTTACGTCCTTGGCTAAGCTTCCACATGGTGACACGACCATTGTGTAATAAGTAGCCTGTCTTTTGCTATTTGTCCCCAGGTTGCTGTGGAAAGATTTCTCAGTTCCAGGTGGAGGCATATTCATTACCGAGTGGAAGTGGCCTAAAATAAGACATTAAGGCTGTATTTAAAAGAAAAATGAAAACAAGTAAAATCTAAATAACTGTGTCTTAAGAAGTACATCAAAAGTATTAAAATACATTAAGTGATAATCTAATCTGCAATATCTACTCTAATTTAGCTATGTTTCATATAAAACACTACACCACAATGAGAAGACTGTATCTTTTTTTAAATGGAAGTAAAGATTAGCATACACAAATGTTTAAAGAAAG